CTTTATGAACTTCTCTAAAAATCTGCCTGAACTAAAAAATTAAAGATAATTCTGCCAATTTTAAAGGCATGTGACATACACACACGTGCACACACACACACGCACGCATACACAAACACACACGCGCATACTCACACATGCATACATACACACACATATGCATGCAAGTACAATTTAGTGTAATTAGTCTTTGGTCTCGTTTTGTTTAGATCGGACTATGATGCTGATGAATAATAATAATAATAATTAACAATAATAAATAATAATAATAATAAGTGTGGTGATGACAATAATGGTGAAAATTATGGTGATTACGTCATCAACAATGATGATGACGTTGACGATAAAAAATGATGACTCAGTCCGATGAACATTATTACGTTGTGACGCGTGGATGATAATAGTATAGGTCTGTCTGTCACACGGGCATAGCAACTGCATTCTCATGGTGGGGTACAATGTTTTGATAACAATTTTTATACCCTTTTATTAGTGTATCCGTTCATTCATTCGTTTTTTCATTCATTTATTTATCTATCTATCTATCCATCCAACTATTCATTTTTCCACCAATTAATCCCGTCTATCTATTTATCCATATACCTATCTGTCTAAATAATAAACTGATTATCCATTTAGGTATCTTTACGTCTTTTTATTTACTCACTCACTCCTCATTCACTCACCCACTCACTCCTCACTCACCCACTCACCCACTCACTCCTCACTCAAACATTTAGACATTTTTCATATATTCATTCCTTCATTCATTCCGAAAGCAATTACATTTACACCACATGGTGTCTTAATGGGCTCCTATGTTTTTCTCCCTCTCTTTTTCTCTCTCTCTTTTTCTCTCTCTCTTTTTCTCTCTCTCTTTTTCTCTCTCTCTTTTTCTCTCTCTCTTTTTCTCTCTCTCTTTTTCTCTCTCTCTTTTTCTCTCTCTCTTTTTCTCTCTCTCTTTTTCTCTCTCTCTTTTTCTCTCTCTCTTTCTCTCTTTATTTATACGCGCGCGCGCGCGCGTGTGTGTGTGTGTGTGTAAATGGCTACACATATAAAAAATAACAAGAACGATTAATGAGATTTAGAAACACAAAAATATAAATCATACTGCGAAAATAAAAATTCTTGTATATATTATGCATGGACATAATATAAATATGTATATATATATATATATATATATATATATATATATATATACAACAATGTGTGTGTGTGCGTGTGTGTCTTTGTACGTGCGTGTATGCGTAAGTGTGTGTTTATATTCACATAAAAGAGTACAGTTACAAAACCATATGCATATTTACATATCGGCCAGGGATACACACACACACAAACACACACACACACACACACACACACACACACACACACACACACACACACACACATATATATATATATATATATATATATATATATATATTTATTTATTAGTATATCTCTATGAATAAGTATATATATATTTATTACTCACGCAAAGAATTAATTGTAGATAGTACTATAAATACCAGATGAACTACATGTAACAATACCTCAAACTCTATTACACTGAGGATGGTAAATGTTACCGAAAAAAGCTTATATGTAAAGGTATATATGAAAAATGCAGTCTAAAATAATTAGAAATTTCATTTTTAATTTGAATAAATTGTAATACCGATAAAAGAATTGTTCGAAAAATTGAAAAACTTAGTTGCAAACTCAACAATATGTGGAAAAGGAGGCGATATTTCTTAATAACTGTATATACAACAGTCTGAACCCCCCAAAAAAGTATATATATATGAATATTGATATATATGGATATATATGTGTATATATATATATATATACACATATATACATGCATACATATTAATATATGTATGCATGTATATATATATGGATATATATATATATGGATATATATGGATATATATATATATAAATATATATATATACATATATATATACATACATACATATTAATATACAAACCGTTAACAACATTAAAACTGAATTCAAAGTTCATTTTATGATATATACTATATATATATATATATATATATATATATATATTTACATTCATACATAATAGCAATACATAAAGTTTACATAGATATATATATATATATATATATATATATATATATATATATATAATTGTAGATGTAAATATATATAGGTGATGTTTGATTAGTCTAAGAATAACGTTTGTGAACAGCAATATGAGCTAATGTATTCCATATAAGTTGATGTGTGATGATGATTTATTCGTTTATTAAATAAGCATATTTTTTCATTATTAATTATTAAAATTTCGTCTTTTATTTGTGTTTTAAATTCAAATAATTATTTCTCTTTTTAAATAATTATTTTTAATTTTATAAATTACATAAAATCATCTCATTTTTTTCACGAAACTAGCATTTATAAATAGTAATAACATCACATCACATTATCAACAAAGACAGGACAATAACTAGCTACATTAGCAATAGCGTCATCAGTAACATTAATAACAGCAACAACAAGAGCTACAACAAGAGCTACAACTACAACAACAACAGCAATAACAACAACTTCAACTACAGCCGCAACAACAAGAAGAAAATCAACATTACAACAACAACAAAGGAATCAGAAGAAATTCTACATTTTCACAGGTTCCAAAGATTCTCACCTCCGAGTAACTGATTCCTGCTACTACTTTGCTTTGTTAGTTGAGGTATTGAAGAATGTTTATTTTATTTGAACGTTAAACTTTAATGCTTTCACTTTCTATATATACAGAAAGACATATGCAGATGTGAATGTATGTGTTTATTGGAGTGTGTGTGTTTGTCTGTGTGTTTGTTTGTGTGTGTGTGTGTTTGTGTGTGTGTGTGTGTGGCTTTAACAATGTCTACGTAGTATTAGCGTGAAAACGATTGATCAGAATTTGTGAATGGATATTGAATGAATGATTGAATTTTTATTTACTCATCTCTCGGCGAAATTAATATGCGAGGAAATTGATTGACTTAATGAAAATTAATTGGTTAATGAATTAATGAAAGAATTAACGAACGGAAGAACGGATGAAAGAAAGAATAAATAAATAAATGAACAAAAGAACGAAAGTATAAACATCAGATCGTTCAAAATGAATGCATAGATTTACGAAAGAAGATGAAACAGATCAAACCAACACGTGAATGAATGAATGAATGAACGAACGAACGAACGAACAGACAACCTGAATAAAAGAAGAAACAAAAAGATTACAAAACTTGTTATAAAAAATAACCGCAGAATATTTATACATGTCTGCTTATCATCAGTCATTCATCCATCCATCCATCTATCCATTCATCCATCCATCCATCCGTCCGTCCGTCCATCCATCCATCCATTCATTCATCCATCCATCCATCCATCCATCCGCCCACCCACCCACCCATCTATCCATCCATCCATCCATTCATCCATACATACATACATACATACATACATACATACATACATACATACATACATACATACATACATACATACAAACAAATATACATACATACATACATGCATGCATGCATACATGCATGCAAAAGATTGTAAACTAACTCTACTCACTGGCATAAGTTTGTTAATGTAAACTTATATTGTTCATATATTTATCTTTATACACATTATATATACACACAAAGTACCACTACTAATACTATTACTACTTTTACTACTACTACCACTACTACTACTACTACTACAAATACTACTACGAATAATTTTAGTAATACTTCCACCACTTTATTGCCTTAGAAACACACAAAATATATACCCATTCTCAAATTGTGGAGCGAGCTATCCATATATATCATGTCAAATTTTTTGTCAAGAGTTTTTAAGCTGAAAGAAACATAGCACACGTTAAGCACTGGTTGTATTGTATGCTATTAATTTTATGTTAGGACTTGTTAACTTGAAGTATTCTTACTTCTTCCCTCTATTCTCTCTTTCTTGCTCTCTTTTATATTGTACATTTTTTTAATTTTCCCTCTTCTCTCTCTTGTCCCTTTTCTACTTCCTCTTACTTTCTTCCTCAACCTTTATATTTCTATCTCTCCTTCTTTTCTTTTCTTCTTCTTCTCTCTCTCTCTCTCTCTCTCTCTCTCTCTCTCTCTCTCTCTCTCTCTCTCTCTCTCTCTCTCTCTACATGCAAATGAAGGATGCGTAAACAAGAAAATTATCTTAAATCAAGTGCGTTCTCATAGATTTTAATTCGAGCGAATTTAGTGATGAATGAACGAATGATCGCTAATTGCCATGCCGATGAAGCAGTGGTTGAGGTTGGCAGTGTTGTTAGTTGTCAAAAATTATTCCCGAGTCAATGATAAAAATATTTTTTTGATGAATGTATAGATTAAAAACAGATTATTTATTATATTCTCGCTAATTTACGAAAATTGTTTAAATTCATTTTCGCTTAGAAACCTTGTTGCAATATTTTAAATTCCAACTGCCGAACTCGACTGCACATCATCATACGTACTGTTGCTACATGTAAAACATGCATTCCCTCCCTGGCTTTTGAATAAACTCGTTGTGGTTATGTACATACGTTTTCCCGTGTTTTTGCCACTCGGGTTTTACAAAGAAACAATATTTAAAATAGACTCAAAAATTGATGATATTTTCTACAAATTGTATTCAACCTAGTCTTCCATTATTGACGTCATGAAGTTAATTGCCGCTACTTAATTGTTAAGATGTCCTTTTTGAAGATTTTAATTGCATTGTGTTCACTTTTTCATATCAATTTATCTTCAAGTTTCTTTTTAAAAGTTGTCGTTCATGTGGCGTTTGTTTGAATGTGTTTTTATTTCTATATAAATAATTCAAAGTTTTGATTTTTTTGTGTTTTATTGAAAAATACTTTATATAACCACATATGTAATAATAGTTTTATTACTAATAACAACCTTACAGCTAGCAACTAATTACCAAACAAACAAACGAAAGTAGATAAAGATAAAACCATGCTGCATAGAAAGTATTTCATGCTTTCATCGCCACCAGAGGTGTTTATATTCTCCAGGAATGCAACAAAGTTTATTTTCCTCCTCCTCGCTCTGATGGCCGCCTGCATGGACTGCATGCCCACCACATCCCCTGGTTACGCCATCGTTGTTGACGCTGGCAGTTCTGGCACCCGATGTTGGGTCTACAAGCTGACGCCTGTCGCTGGTAACAAACTGCCAAAAATTGAAATTGTTAACAAAGAAAAATACAAAGGCGGCATGGCGAAGCAGATCACTGAAATTAAAGCAAGTCTCGAAAAAATTGTAAAATTTGCCAAAACTCACGTACCGGCTGATCAGCATGCAAAAACTCCGATATACTTCATGGCTACTGCAGGTTTTATTTCATGTTTATAGAAATAATATAACAATGAATGGTAGTAGCCTACGTTCAATTGTTTGATATTTTTCAAAATGAAACATTTCAGAAAGTTTCCAATTTTTTCAATTTTATCTCGTCACTTTAGACTATTAATTCAGAAACTTTCAAAATTCACCAGGAATGCGGTACTTAGCTGAAAATTCGGCAACGAGTGTATTTGATTCCATTGACCACTTCCTCTCTGATCCGGCGAAGTGTCCATTTCAGCACGAGACACCAGCTCGTATTTTATCGGGCCAGGAAGAAGGAACATTTGCCTGGCTTTCTGTCAACTATCTCAAAGGAGTTCTAGATGGTGCGACGACCTTTCTGTCCTGTTATTTTACGCTGATATATTTAGTTTTGCTATTTTTCATAAAACTATATTTAAGTAACACCAATTTTTTTTTACCTAGTTCAAACATACTTTGCAAGAATTGTTTTAACATTAGCAGCAGTTTTCTAACTGTTCTTGATATATTTTTTAGATGAGACATTGAAAGACCCAACTTCGAAAACATTTGGAGTACTTGAGATGGGCGGAGCATCGGTTCAGATCACATTCGTTCCTCGATCACAGATTCTTGATAACGTCTTCCAATTCAAATTCCATCGAAATAAATTCCATATCTACTCGCACAGTTACTTGAACTATGGCCAGGAGACTGTTAGAGAAATCCTCGACAATTCAACACTTTCTCGAAACAACCGCCATCTATCCTCTAATTACGTACTTAATCCCTGCCAGATAAAAGGTAGCAAACATTTGCTCATTGTCGTTTTCTGTCTTTTGATTGGCTTTTTTTTCTGAGCGTTTAAAAAGTTTTATTGAAATTTAAAGTAAAAAAATTGAGTGATTCAATGTTTCTGCAATCAAGATGATACGAGGGCAGCTAGTGAGTCTTTGAACACTTCGTTGCTCGGCACTGGCCACTTTGAAGAATGCGTGGATATGATCCGAGATATGTTTGTCATTCCCAACAAAAACTGTGCACCTGGGCCGTGTACAATCAATAATATCTACCAGCCATCCATACCACGTAACCAGGTTGGTAGATTAATTTCTTTTTTCCAACACTCAACCCATTTTAACTATTCTAATATTGAAAATTTTGATGAATAATAATTGTTTACGTTTCACAGTTTTGCGAAAACTAATTTAAAACTGCTTTCTGCATATAATGTAACTAAATTAAGTGCTATATTATTTAGACATTCTTCGCCATCGGAGTCATTTACAAGGTTCTCAGAGATTTAGGCATCGACACAAGCAAACCTGTAAAACCTTCTGTCATCAAATACGAAGCAACTCGCTTCTGCAGTCAGGTCAGTCAACTTTTCTAGTCAACATTAAAATCAGTTCTTGGTTTATACAGTTGATATATATATATATAATTTATCAATCTCAAAAAAATAGTTCCGTTATTGATACGAACGAAGACAGTTGACTTTATAATTTATCAAAAATTTTGAAAGACAAACGTGAGATTCAACTTTTAATTGGACGTTTTGACACACACCACACACAAACACACACACAAACACACACACAGAACATACCCAGTTTAACGGACTTCCAAAAACTTGCCTGTCCGATCGGGATCTACCTTTACGTTTTGTTGGTCGATGTCTTCAAGTTTGCCGAAGACAGCGAACAAATTATTACCATTGAAGAAATTAACGGCAAAACCATAGGTGATTTTATGTTGAATGTGCTCTCATAATATTATCATCCATTCTCATGAAACATTTGATAAAATTATTAAACAAAACAACGCAAAAACTTGTGACATTAATAGATGAGTTGAGAGAGAGTAAATAATAGTTTAGTAGATTATCTTTGTGAAAGTCACATGACTTTGTCAAATTAAAAAATTACACAAAATTCTTTTTATAATCATATCGTAGATATCTTCACAATACCATTATGTATAAGGACATAAAATTTTCGTGCCATCATACAATCTACTGCAATTATTTTAGTTTATCTGTACTTCATTTCATCAGAACTGACGCTACTTTTTATCTCCAAACTTTTTAAACTAATCATTGAAGCTCCATCTAAATGAAGGGGTGCAACTGGAGGCCCCTGGCCACAACCCGGCCCGCCAAGCAGTTAAGTGGCACTCTGGGATAAATATCAAAATTGTTCAAATAATATAAAAAAAGTATCATTTATCAATCATTTTACTTGAATTCAATTCCGAACATATTAAATATAAAAGTTTTTCGATAAATATTATTAATCATAAAATAAAGCAATAGACAAAAATTTTCACCTATTTTAATCTCTTGTATTAATTTCAAAAATACTACCATGGTGACGCGTTGCGTTCATTGAATTCTTGTTTAGTGAATAAGCGCGCTTTCCTTGCAGTTCAAGTTTAGCGTTTAATGTTCTTGGTTGACAACCGACAATTTGGATACTGTTCACATACATTCACGATAATTCAAAAAAGTAAATTTTTAGAAAATTTTAATATGATTTTAAATTATTTTCTCTGCCATTTGGGCCTGAGGTTTATTCGGATTGTTATTAATATCCAAATGACAAAATTGAACTAGTGACTTGTTATAAAAGCTATTTGCAAACAAAATATATAAATCTGGACCAATGGGCAAAAAAATTATACCAGTCACCCCTGAAGAAATGTGCACACCCGTGATTTAAATAATAACAACATTTACTTCTACATAAATGTTAAAACACTCACACACACAAACAATCGTTTGCATACACACACACACATACAACCAACCTCATTTTGAAAAAATAACAGATTGGACGATGGGAGCCATCATTTACGAAGTAGAGCATGGGCCTGTTGTTGTTCGTGGAGATGAATGTGCACGCTCCCTGCCCTCACCCTTCTCATCATCATCGTCATCATCGACAACAACATCAACATCATCATCACATGTCTTGTTGTTGTCATTGTTTAGCCTGATTGCTATTGCTGAGTGCATGCTGATGGCTAGCTGGTGATGAATTTTTTTTATCTTAATTATTTTGGTGAATTTTACTAATTATTTTTTTAATCAAATTGTATTTATTTTAAAATTGTATTTATTTTTTAAAGTTTTAGTAGCAAATTTTTCCATTCCCTTTTAAAGGGATATGATGGTATAGAAGAATGCTCGAGTGTGTGGCTGATTGGTGTACGTATGGTGTGACTTGGTGAATATTTTATAATCACAGCACATTCATTTACTGTAAAGTTCTCTAGTCTTGTCTTAGCATGCAAAAGTATTTTAATGATCATTTAAATTATTATGATAATTTTAATCAAAATTAATACAAAATGCAATGTTATAATATTATCTATTTAGGTGCCGACCATAAGGGATGTCACGCTTCAAGAGGGGTGGGAGGGGGTCCAAATATTTGCGACAATTTGTGACGAGTTGAAGGGTGGTAAACGGCTTTTTAAAATAAACAAAATAATAAATAATTTTTTTCACATATATGCGCAAAATGAATATTAAAATTTTCAAGCGAGCAAATATTAATTATTAAATATTAATATGAATAAATAATTTAATATAAATATTAAAAGAGGAGTCAAATCTAAACGCCATCGTTAAAGTTTACCGCTGTGTAGGCGTTAATATTAATTAATAGTTAATATTAGTTAATATTAATTCGTTATATTTTAACAGCTAAGGTAAAGCATTTAGATATTTTATATAAACTTGTCATTCGTTATTTCGATATAAATAAAAAATAAAATGCATAGAACAATTACATTGTTTATTGACTCTTCCCCATGGGGGGGGGGTAAAGTTTTGTGACATGCTTATTTCTGGGGGTTGGTCGATTTGTGACAGTTTGTGACACAGGAGAGGGGGTCAAAAAAGCGTGACGTCCTCTATGGACAGCCCCTTATTATCATTATTAATTATTATTTATTAATTTTGTTATTATTGTTATCAAACATATTAAAATATAAAAACTTGATTCTATAGCAATTTCAAAGAGCCTTGCTAACCAGTATTATCAATATTATCACAATAATAATAATAATAAATAAATAAATTAAATTAAATGACTCAGATGTAATGCTTTTTATGGCATTTTTCGTCCTAGCTAGCTGACCATCCTCTTAATCATCATCACAACAATAATAATAAGATTCAGATTCATAATCTTCATCATCTAAATAATATTAAAAGGAAATATGATTCACTATTTTTGATCATCATCAAAATGATGATAATAACAACAAAGAATAATAAAAATTATCATTATTGATTGAATGTACGGCAGGGCAGACGTACTTAAGTTTCACCGAAAGCCGGTGCGCACTTACATTTCCGCCATGCCCTGCCTACGTCAATTTTGACGGCCAATCATCGACGAGGTTCTCATAGAAACAGAACCCCGCAGTGATAAACGGCTGCGCTCTTTTGTAACACCGGTCGTCACATGCAGCAAAGCCGACGCTGGATGCACAAGCATCTCAGCCAGGCTTGCCTTCATTGCCACTGAAAGAACAAACATAGTGCGATGATGAACGTTTGAACGTTCACATCACAACCATTTCTGAACTTCCGTAATAAACAGTTCTACAAACTAATTATGCCACCGTGATTGATTGATTGAATGAATGAATGAATGGAAAATATACAATTAGAAATTATGTAACAAATACGCTTAGAAACTAGAAACTAACGAACCAATAGTAGCAAAATTTGATTCAGATATACTGGTATTTAAGGTGATTTGCAATGTGCCCAGCTAACCAATATCTACAATCATCATCGTCATCGCCAGAATAATAATAACAATGTTAGTATGTTAGAAAACTTGACTATGTTAATAAACTTAAATATGTTAGAATACTTAACTATGTTAACAAATAAGTCTAAAAATAATATGTAAAAAACGTCTAGAATTAATGAGTTACAAAATATAATAATAATAAGTTACCAAAATTATTAACTAATTTAGATTAATTAAATCAACAGTTAAACTAATTTACATGAAACCATGCAAAAATCATACACCGTAAAATGTATATATGCATATACACAACAAAAACTGTATAAACCTCTTTATAACCGTGCAACTCTATATAGCCGCACAACTCTATATAACCGCGCAACTATATATAACTCTATATAGCCGCACAACTCTATATAACCGCGCAACTCTATATAACCGCGCAACTCTATATAGCCGCGCAATTCTATATAACTCTATAAAACGGCGCAACTCTACATAACTCCGTATAACCTTTCATTTCTATATAACCGCGCTATTCTATATAACTCTATATAACCGCGCAATTTTATATAACTTCATATAACCGCGCAACTCTATGTAACCCTGCATAACTGCACAACTCTATATAACCCTATAGAACCATGCAACTTCATATAACCATGAACGTTATTCCTAGCCAAGTAAGCCAAGCCATCCTCATTTACGTACAGATGTACCTATTTAATTGTGCGTAATGTTTGGAAGGTTTGGGTGTGAGTTTGTTTGCTGGTGTGTGTGTGTTTGTTTGCTGGTGTGTGTGTGTGTTTGTTTGCTGGTGTGTGTGTGTGCGTGTATCCCAACCAACCTCAGAAATCTTCTCCACTGCCATCTGCCATCCGAACATCATTTGACGATGACGACAATCATCCCTCTGAGACCATTAGACTTGCTAAAAATAAAATTTTCTGAATTTACCATCTTAAACGATGAAAAAAATAATTTCTGGATTAAATATTGAAAATGGAAAAAAATTAATTAACAATTCTGACGTTTGAGACGCAACCCTCACTGACTCGTGCAGCACCGCCATCTTCCGAACGGCAGAGGATTAGTTGTGTTGTTGTGCTCACCACCTGCTGGTCTGACTTGCAACAGCATCATCTCTTACAGATCAGATAGGCCGGGAAACGTTGGAGTGTTTTGGAAAAAAATAATTTGTAAAATGTTATTAACATTAAATTGCAAGATGAAAATGACGAATTCAAATAATTGTGTGTATTGTTTGTGTTTGATTGTGTGTAATGTTGTGTTTGACTGTGTGTACTGTGTGTAATGTTGTGTTTGATTGTGTGTAATGTTTGGTACGTGTGTAATGTTTGCTGTGTGTTTGATTGTTTTGTTAGTGTGTGATGATGATGTGAAACAAAAACTAACACATAACAATCAATAAATGAGAAGTAGCAAGAATAGAAGTCAGTCATCAGTCACCTACCTACCATAAATCAACGCTAAGCCCTAGCTTACCTATAACAATTAGCTCAACTCAAATCTCACCTACTTATGATCAATTAACTCATCTTAGGCCCTAACTTACCTACTTTCAATTAAACTCAACTAACTCTTGGCGTCAGTCCAATAGAGAAGAAAAGTAGAAGAAAGAGGAAAACAAACATGACAATAACACCGAACAGATGAATGTATGTGTGTGTTGTATTTATGTGTGTATGTATGTATGCGTATGTATCGTGTGTGTATGTATGTGTGTATGTTTGTGTGTGTAATGTTTTTTTTGACTGTGTGTAATGTTGTGTTTGACTGTGTGTAATGTTGTATTTGATTGTATGTAATGTTATGTTTGTGTGTAAAATGTAGTGTTTGATTGTGTGTAACATTGTGTTTGTTTGTGTGCATGGTATATGTATATGTATGTGTATGTGGATGTATTGATAAATGAGTCGGCGAACATAAAAAACAACTTTACCTCAGAAATATTTTCTGTAGCAGGCTACCATTTGAGACGCATCGCTGATTTGTCGAAAGCTGCACCAGATTCTGAATGAACTGAACGACCGGGAAACACTAGAAAGCGAATTTTCAGACATTTGGTGGAGATTTTCTTTCAATACAACTCTGCCAGTTAGTATGTTGATAGGTTTAGTCTATTAATGCTATGTTTTAACGTATAAACAACATAACGATACAACCTCAAAGAAACGTTAAGCTAATATTAAAATGCTTTTAAAGCCTTCCACCCAATATTATTATATCAAAACATAGAGCTTAATTAGGCAGGAAACGACGAAAATATAAAAAAAAAACTATCTAGTTCACAACTATTTAGTTCATTCAAGACACTATACATCGAAAACGTTGGATACTATACATCAAAAACGTTACCAAATTATACATTTTCATGTAAAGTAAAATTAACACATTTCTAACTCCTACACGAGTAAAGAAATTAATGACCATCCCTTTTTACAGAACGTACAAATGTACAGCTGTACACTATCGGCATGCCAACCAGCCAACCAGCTAGCCAGCATACATTCTATGTATCAGTTACTGCAATACTAAAAAGATACTACTACTACTACCGATACTGCTACTACTACTATCGCTTCTTCTACTGCTGCTACTGCAGTTTTTGTAGTTTTGTAGCAAACTTTTTGTTTTAAGAGTATAAAATTCCAATAATGTCAATAATGTCTCTTAAATTATTCCCTTGAGCAACAACCTTATTTAATATTTGTAGTTTGAATTAGATATCTACATACATATATATTTAATTAATAAGAAAATTAATATATATATATATATTGTATATAAATATATAATTTCAAATTACCTCTGTTGATCAGCTGTGGTCAGCTGTGGGCTCTGGCCGTTGATGATCGACTGTGGTGGTCGTTCTTGACCAACTGAATGACGTTTCAGATGAACAAAAACAAAAGGCAACTAAACTGACGTAACCAGATAATAAATTAAAATGAAACAGCCATGATTTTTCAGTCTTTTGATGCAACCTTTAATGTATTGAAAACACTAAACAAATAAACTGATATTGGACGTAAATTTAAATTTAACGTCCCTACAATGGTAACTCTCGCGAATGTATTGAGGAAATATAGTTGTGAAATACCGTTTGAGTTGTATGCACTTTTGAAGTTACTGCGGTAGAAAAATTAGTGATAATCCCTTTTTTCAAAACGTGTATGTGTACGTACACGATGAACATGCCAAACAACTAGCCGATCGGCCAACATACAATTTATTTATCAGTATTACTTATTGTGCGTGTGTGTGTGCGTGTGTGTGTGTGTGTGTTTCTGCATATGTGTTGCTACTGCTACTGCTATGCTACTACTGCTGCTGCTGCTGCTTATACTACAATCTAGTAAATAAGTTCAAAACTGCGTACTAATGCTAAAATAGATTGATTAATTGATTGATTGTCACCTTTTAAGTTTTAACCAAAAAAGATTCCAGTAAAAAATAAATAATAAAACAGCCATTCGTTATATCCACTGGTGATTTTTGGAGTAGGGCCCAAGTCAATTCTTCTTTCTAAATTTTTCATTAAAATAAAATGAGACGCTACGATGCATGTACGAAATGAATTAAGAAATGAATTTTAATGTCGGATGTCACTTTTCGTCTATTGAATTATGCTGGAACTGTTGCGCAATCTTGATTAGGTGGTGGGGAGTTTTTTTTGTAGTAACCAGATGATAGGGGGTGTCTTGTTTTGAAAGTTCATATTTCAGTAAAACGTTCACACAGTAACTAATGTTTTCATTTTTTTTCTTTTCCAGTTTTTTATTGTTCTTACGTTCTCTGTTTTTAAAATGTTTGACGAAAATTTTTCTTTTCGTTACTTTATTCAAGTTTACTTTCACGTAAGACGAACAAGACGAGAACGATCACGCATTCAAGAAAATGACGGAGGTAATGGACAGCGCGGATTGGATGAATATGTACGAACAGCCAGTAGGTTTTTTTTTTAATATTTTTAGGTTATTTTCACTAAATTATAATAATAATTCAACAATTTTATTATTTATTCTTGTTTCTCAATCAATTTTAAGCGTTATAAAGTAATGTGGGCTGATTGTTAGTTATTAGATGATGACCAATGATTTCGCTTTCATTAAATGCATCTATTTTTCACACGAAAGAGTGAACTGCCGACAATTGAGATCACACAGAAAAATGGTAATCTTGCTTGCTATTGGTTTTCAATCAATTTAGTTCTGCCCTATTTATTTAATCCGTTTGGTGTCGTGGTGAAAAACTTCTTGTCACCCTGCTTTGATCAGTATAATAACAATATTGAATTGAGGAATGTACCGTTGCCGAGTGAGATGGACGTGTGATGACGTCGAGTTCAGGGGGTTTGTGGAACCCCAGATGGCTGATGGACACGTAGTTGGTTGGATTCATTGAGTCCCTCGGCACGAAAGCTGTTTTTAGTCAACTGTCAAAGGTCACCGGTCATGAAATATTAAACTTTCACACTTATGTTATGTATCTGATATATCACATTTTCAATTCTATCTGTGCGATTGTAATAATTTCTTTTCATTTTGTTCTCATTTTTCGTAGTGTTATAGTTATTTTGACAATGTTAACTATTGGTTTAAATGTTGTTTAACTGGGATTTATCGAAATGAAAATGATATTTTTGAAAAAAATTTAACGCGTTTTTTGTGTCAAAAATTTAAACCTGTTATTGCGTCTAAATAGCGGGTTGCAAGTATGTACGACGTATTTAAACTTTTCCAGCTTATTCTTCCCTACCTACATAAATTTATTCATGTTTTCTGTACTGTTTGAAAAAGATCTCACTGTTAATTTAAGTTCGATTCGCTTTTACAGTTTCTAAATTTTACCATTTAAAGTTGGTTTACTACTTCTATATTACCTTTCCAGGTGCCAACTTTTGACAAAGTTTCATACAATTTATCAACCCTTCAATTTTCCATTCTTTTAAAGACCGGACCAGAATTTGAAAGTTTTATGTTATTTCGTATCTCAACTGTGAAAAAAAACTGCCGCTATTCATCCATTTCCATCCATCTATCCATCCATTCATCTTTTTATTCATCCATTTTTAATTTTTATTCATTCGTTCTATCCGTCTATCGTCTAGCTCGACACACCTGCATCATTCTTCTTTCTCTCGCAATAATTTCGAAACGGAACTTGAAGCGTTCATCTTTTTTCTCCTCATCTTCCTCCTCCTCTTTCTCATCATCATAATTATTTATTACGTCACCATCATCGTCGTCATCATCATCATTTTTTTCATCATCATCCTTTTTGTCGTAATCGTCTTAATCACCACCATCATCGTCATCATCACCATCATCTTTTTCTTCTTCCTTCTTCTGTCATCAGTCCATCCTCTCTCGGCAGATGACTTACTTCCGTTCCGGAAGTCAATGGACATCCGCCATCTTGATTTATAAGACGCCATTTTGTTTGTTGTTTATTTTTCTAGTAGCGAGAACTTGCCAGATATAAAAGAAATTGTCCAAACGTGCTGAAATTATTTATTTGTTTTTGCTATTTTTTCTTATTTTGTTTGTATGTTTCATAATTTTTCCGTCAATTAATTTATTTGCTGTATTTTATTTAAAATAATATTTCTTCAAACCCTAACCAACAAAAAGACAAACAAATAAGCAACTGAAACTTAATAAGAAAAATAAAAATTTACCAAACAATAAATTTTCAATAAGTTAATTTGCAATCCGTGTGTATGTAGAGCACAAAATTTAATTTGTGGCATTTGAAAGCATTGCAGATGTTTTAGGGGCTTAAACTCAAAGAAGCTACGTTTATAATATTACAAAATGATTGAATGAATGAATAAATAAACGAATGAATGAATCTGCAAATGAATGAACGAACGAATAAAAGAATGAATCCACCATACGTATTCTATGACGAAGTTGTCACGTCACCGTTCTTTCTTCAAAATTTTCACAAACTCATTGTTGTTGGTGTTGTTATTATTATTACTATGGTCATCATCAACGTCATCATCGTCGTCGTCATCAACGACAACATCATCTTCCTCATCATCAGCAGCAGCATCGTCAGAAAAATCATCATCATCACCATCACGGTCATCATAATCATAACTCTCCAAAGAATAACTAATATTTCTAAACACACGCGGTTGAACTTCTGTATATATTCTGTTCCATCTAATTAACTTTCCACCTGTCCAACCCATGTATATATATATATATATATATATATAGTGTATAATTGTATTATATATTAATATATTATGTTTAGACTCCACCCACAATGAATCTCATTGGCTGAAGGAAGTCCGGAGGATAACCAATGACGTTTTAGGAAGCGGAAAAGCTTGGAAAACTTGTCATCTGCCTGATCATTGTGTTTTTGTTCTTATTTTGGCTCTTATTGTTTCTGTTGTTTAAAAAATTATTGTTAATTCTATTTGCACGTTGTTGTATTTATGCTTTTTTTTTGCTTGTATGTATGTGAATAATTGTTGTATGAGTGTTGTTTTTGCTTGTATGTATGTTTGTATGTATGTATGTGAATGATTGTTAGTTCGTTAATTTATTTATTAGTTTGTTATCCCGTTTTGATATGTTTTTCTGGTTATTTTTTAATACGATTGTTTGCCTTGATCGTATGTTTCAATTGGTTCGTCCATTACAAATTGTATTTATGCTTTGCCAAAAATGAAAACATGCTTATTTTAACATACAAAAAACACACGCGAGTTCACGCACACACACACACACACACACACAAATGAACTACTGCACACGCACAGACACACAGACACATGCACAGACACACACACATCACACACATCCAACTACTATTATAAATAGTGTCCGGTCTGCGCTCGTTTCGCTCCTAAGATAATTCTAAGTGGAAAAAATTAATTTTAAAAATTTCAAAATAATTAATTTGATTATGTGTATGGAAAAAGTGAATTATTTTGATAAGGCAAACGATCTATAGCGAGATTATTAATTTGATTTTATGTTAATTTATTTGAAAAAGTTTGAAATTCTATACATATATATGTATATATATGTGTATATATGTTGCTGTGTAACACCAACTTTAACAACGCACATAATGTGTACATATTAAAACGAAATTTACAATTTTATTGACATTACAATCCTCACTAACAACAAAATACGTTAACATCAACAACAACACTAATAACAACAACAACAGCAAAAACAACATCAACAACAACATTAATCAAACAGCAACAGCAACAACACTAACAACATCAATCTAACAGCAACAACAACAATCTAACAACAACAGCATCAATCTAACATCAACAAAAACATCAACAAAAACATCAACAAAGACGTCAACAAAGATATCAACAAATTTTTAAATCACGTGATTAACCAACCCGACGACAACAAATACATTCTAGCCTGTATGTAGTGTTCCGATTTGCTAAACAATGCCAACTTTTGCAGACAAAAAAATACTATTTGGAAACAGTTTTAACAACAGCAACAACAATAACAACAATGACAACAACAACAACAATAATAATAATAACAATAGTGACTACAACAACGACAATCAACATTACTGGTTTTTACAGCAACATCAACAGGAATTGTTCCAACGACAACAGCATGAGACGTTGAAGGACATTTTTTCAGGATCCATCAAAAATCAGTTTAGAACATTTCATAAAAATTCATCATCTTCGTCCTCGTCACCATCCCTGTTTACATCGTCGTCGCTGACGTCATCGTCGACGTCATCAACTGTCTTTTCGTT